CATTTTTCATGTAAGGCAGGCATCCAACAGAAGTTAAATGATTTGCTCAGGGTCAGGTTTTACATCGGCAGACTCAGATCTTATTTTTTTTCTCAAATGCTCTTTTAAAGCTTAAATAAATACGGATTTAGTTTTGAAAATGACAATTTTCTCATTTGCATCAAATTGATTTCAGGAAACTGTCACTATATTTCTCTTTTCTTTTATATCTGCTACATCTACACATCCTCATCAATTCTACAACAAATAATAAATAAAATCCTAAAGGGTATTACCCACAGAACCATTTTCTCTAAGAAAATAAAAGTAAATAGCTGAACATAAGAATCTCAGACGTGATAGTTTTTAATCACATAAAATAAAGCAGATATATCATTATTTTCATAAAGAGAAAAACCAAGAAAAGCTTACACTCTTAACCCCAATCTTATACTTTGAACAACTCCAAGTTTTAAATATTATGGAATTATCATTCCTTTTCTTTCTCCCTATTATTTTGTGGGAATAAGGAAAACTTTGAATAGAAATACTAAGTACAAGAGTAAAATGAGAAGACAGACAACTCCTATTTAATCTTAGAAATAAATGAGTAACATTAAAAAGAAACTAAATTCCACTTTCTTCATATTTATATCACAAACTATCTTCACCGTAATAGCACGAATTCATTGTTAATTTTTATTTACTCTTGGATGCCACTCGCCTCAACAAGAATTCTCAAGTTCCACAAGGGATATTTGAAAGAAGGCATAGAAAATATAATTTACTAGAAAGAAACAAATGAAACTCACTGATGAAAAATGGGAAATTAATTTTATTTTAGCCTAAAATTAAGCAAAAATCATTTCCTAAGGTTGAATTTATCTTCTTTTTGACCTTTCTTCCTTAAGTAAGAAACAATATTGTAAACCATCCTAAGAGTGAACAGAAAATACCTGGAAATCTTTACCAATGTTATAAATGCTACAAAGGATAATGAGTTATTCATCATTACAAAAAACCAATTGCCTTATAAATACATTTTTATGAGGATACTATCTTCCAACAATACCTCTCTTAATTATGGAGATGTTAAAGTTCAAAACAATGTTTTACTCTGTTGAGACTTTTAACATTTTTGAAAAACTTAAATAATTCATTAAAAAAATTCTCAACCCACATATCCTTTAAGATATTTTTACTTTGGTTGTCCTTCAGAGTTCAAGTATGGGGCATTCATTTTTCAGTTAATGGCATATTTTTTAGTGTTTATTAGAAAAGTGATCTTAAATGTACTCTTGATGTGCATGAAAAGAGGATTATGATTTTAAGCAGCTCTGTTTACATTTTCAGTAATAGTTAAGTATGCTAATTTCATTACATTTGCTATTATATTTGCTTTTTTATATTCTTTCAGGAGATAATGGAGATATTTCAGTTGTAGTTGTAACCTTGTATCTCAAAGTTTTTAACTGAGACCTAAATCATCATAGTACCTTTTGGTCTCAAGGATATCTTACAGATTCTGGATCCTTCCATGGGGCATCATGCTTTAAACAAGACTAATGTTAGAGTGTTATCTTCTATCTAGTCTTTTAAGTTTCTAAATGAATTATTGATAAATAACATTAGACTTTTTTCATCATAAAGATAAAAGCTCATGTCAATAAGTCAGAAGATTTCAATAGTCATTACCTTTTACTATTGTCCCAGTATTCATATGCGCTTATAATTGCAAGGTATTTGGATAAAAATAACAGGTGTATAATTAGTAAAAACTGAGTAAAAGAGATAATTTGTAGATACGGGTTTTTTAGAGTACATAATTAATCTAAAATAACATTTGGTTAAATAACATACTGTTACTCCTGAATTTTATTATGTCAGGACAAAGAACACTTTTCTTGAGGGGAGCAAAGCGGACAGTTAGAAGAAGGCAAGATGGTTAAGATAAGGAAAGGAACTATTTCAATATTTGAAAATTAATATGTATACATTTTAATTTTAACCAATGGGGTTCATTCAAAATTCCCTTGATAGTCCACTGGTATAAGAATATAGTTTAAATTAAATTCTATGTTAACTAGATCAAGTATAATATCTAAGTAAAAAGGAAATTAACAGAAATGACAGACAAAAAACTGATACTATTAGGTATGAGATCCTGCGTATGTTTTCATTTTGCATGTTTGAAAAGAATTTATGTGTGTACATGCAGAATAACTCTAGGACATACAAGAAACTGGAAACTGATACTTTGCACTGTCTACTCAACAGTAGCTTTTAAATTTTGTACTGCATGTTTTCCCTATTCAACAACATTAAGAACCCACTATGCCAATAAACTTAAATTATTTAAAAATTCATGTCAAATTAACAAGAGTATTTTTACTAAACAAGAAAATATACTAACAATATACTAACACTTTCCCCCCTAAAATCAACCTAGATAAGTCTTGCATTTATGACAGAGTAACTGTAATCTAGGTATCTGACATTAAATTGGGAAAAATATACTTTCCCTGTACCTCACTGCTATAGCGGTGTGGACCATGGATTGTCTCAACAGCATGCTAAAGTCTTTGTACTTTTCCTATGATGGGTCAGTCATTAGCCACCTTTACTTTCTGAAATTCAATAAATCTTTAGGGAAACTTCAGGAAGATTTCAAGAATCCCATGTGACAATGATAAATATTACATTTGCGTTATTTTGTTGGATAGGATCCATTTTAACCTCTCTTTGTGGTATACTTCAGCTTTTATCTTGCCGAAGATGGTTGGTGTTTGGTAAAGACAGATTTCAAACTAAAGCCCTTTCATAAATCTTGGAATAGGAGTTTGTAAAGAGTTTCAATGAAAGTCACTTGGAAATGAGCAGCAAAAAAAATCTCACACTCAGAAAAAATTATTTTCAGGAAATTGCTTAAAATTCAAATTATGTCCTTTTCACTTATTAAAAATAAACCCAAAACAAAAGCTAAAGGAATGATAATACATACATCAGTTTTCAAAGATAGCTGCTTATTAAAAAATAAATGTCTGAGGGTGTATTTCAATTTCTCCTCTTCAAATTGTGCAGCTTAGATAAATGTTTATTTTACTGAAAATATTTTCAAAATTACAATATAAATACATGATTATATTAAGATAGGATGACTACATATAATGTATCTTATCCATAGATATAAAATGAATGCAGTAAATATAGCATACTATTAATGAATTATTAGTACACAGTGTTTCTTAGTAAAGAACATACAACCTACTATTAAGCAACGATTACTAGTTTTCAAATGTACATCTTAGGAAATTTTAGGATGGAAGGATATACTAACTCCCCTCCCCCTGTACCATTTTTGGTTGGTGAAACCCAGCTTTTCTGCAAATTTGAAATATCATATTGATTTCAGCAACTGTTCTTATGTTCTTTGCATTTTTTAATCTGAAATGCAAATTTTTTTTCATTATTCTAGCTTTTTCTTAACGATGTCATATCAATGAACCATACATTTAATTCTAATACAGTATCATGTACTGTCTTTTCATTTGCTAAACAAACATCAACAATTTGAAACACAATCATTAAAAAACTTTTGGCTGCAAAAATTCCCAAAATTAACTTTCAGGGCAATATGGCAATTTCAACTAGATCTAGTCTCAGTTGTAATACTAACCTGGGCTAGATTAAGGTAAACTGATTCTAGTCCTTAAGGATATGAATGTGAACTCTAGTTTTGTTAAATATACTGGAATTTGCTTCAAAAGCATCTTCTACCTTTCTCCATTACATTGATTTAATGGAAACTGTGTTACTACAGTAGTTCCAACATAAACATGCATGCAAGATATTACCCTACAGGGCCTAACTACGTAATTACTAAAACACATCCCACCTGTCAAGTGGCATAAATGTACATCTTCTATATACAAAAGGTAAAGTGCATTATTAAATTAGTGAACTGACAGATTGTCTGCCTGGACCATATAGCTTTCAAATAGACAAATGTGAAATTCCCCCATTAGAACCAATTATTCCAAGAGGTTCCAACTAGCTTTTCCACCCTGTCATTTATTTTTTGGCCATGCTCTTTAGTGCAAATAAGCTTGTGTTTGACTCAAGTTTAAGGGACATGGCAGTTTGGGGCTTTAACAAGGAAAATTATAAAATGTGGCAGAACTTTAATACTTTTATAATACATTGCATCTTTTGCATATAAGCAACAGATTAATGCTGCTTTTCAATTGCTAGGAGCATACTGCCAACTATTAAGAGGAACCCGTTTCCAAATTTCATACTATTAGCTTATATTATTACAGTTTTGAGTCTGTACCACATTATGCTTGAATTATTATGTGCAAACATCATCAGTATTTTAGAATTATACAGTGAACTAGCAGTATTTTGGTTACTAACTACAATAATCATGTTTTTAACTTCTAACAACCAGATGCCTTAAGACTTTATGGTCTTCAAGGCTATTATTTTGAATACCATGTACACTTGCAACTCCATTTATATTACAAGTAACAATAAATAAAATGTATATTGCACAGATAAGAATAATAGCTTATTTTATAAGATACATGGCAATACATGTTCTAATACCAGAGTTCTGAACTGGATCTTACTTGACTATGGCTAGTGAATGAAAATTTTAAGCATCAAAAAAAAATCATAGCATCATTTCACTTTTCAATGCATACATGAAATGTGAAAAAATGAAACAAAGGAACTCGTAGAAGGTATAATGACTATAAAGTATTCAATTGCCAGTATATATTCATCTACCCAATCTGCAGCTCTGAGATGGTAAAAACTTTGAAGTATATATACAAGGTAGGGAAGCTGGCTGCTTAACTTAATTCTTTACTTAAATAATGCAAATCAAACTACTAGTATTTATATACAATGAATTAGATATTTGTCTTTGAGTCTGACATAGCATTGTGTGTATGTATATACATATAACACATACACACATATGTATATATAGACACACATACTAAAATATTATCAGACTAAAAACCAAACAGAAATCATTCAGACTTAATGGATATAAATATTTCAGAAGGGAAAGTTTTAAGAGCAATTGTATAGTTGTAGCAATAGTGATAGGAACACTCAGATGCTGAAATATTCACAGCTCCAGTTTGCCAAAATCTGACAGGTTGATTATTATTAATAGGCACTATGATGGGCAGCAATAGCAATCAGTAGTACAATAATTCAAGTGCACACCATTCCTCTATATACCAAAACTACTTTTTATCAAGCCTAAATAGTTATTTTACAGTTAGGACTGCATAAAGATTCTTGCTACTTTTAGAGTTTCTACACCCACCATGTGCTATTAATTCTAGTACTAACATTATCTTCTAACCTTCAGTTGTTCCACAGTGATCTAGATGGCCCACACTTATAATAAACAAATGGATTCCTTTACACTACTTGAGGAAACTTGAAATGCAATCTGTAAACCAACAGCAGCATACAAGTCTAGGTTATAGATCACTTGCTTTTAAGCAACATCAACTGGTGAATTTACTTTTCTTATACCTTATTATAGTCTTCTTAGTGATCTTACTCAAATGTATGTGGGGACAAACCTCTGAAGGAAAAAAATGTTAAATAATTTTGACTTACAGCATATAAAAGAAGAGCTACATTCTGATCTCAACCCATGCAGCCAACTCTCATTACTGAGAGCTATATTTAGGGGTTGAAATCAGTGCCTGGCTCTTAGTTATGATTATATGGACATATTATGTGGGAGGTGAATGAAATCAAGATAAAACACAATTTCATTCACAATAAAATATAGCTCAACCGATAAAATTTCAGTCACTTAATATAGGTTGGTTGGTACATATAAACTATATCCACTTGTTTAAAAAACTGCTTAGATTTTGAAAAATTGGTGTGGCACTTCCTGGAAAGAAATTTTAATACAAGTAAATGGGTAAGTCTTATGTAAAGTAAACATTTTTAAGTTTCACAAAGAGCACCTTGGAAAATGCCTGAATTTTCCTTTAAATATGTCTATAACTAATCTTCCAATCTTTTTCCCAGGCTTAAATTTACATTCTGAATAATTTTTAGAAAAAAAAGTTTTTTTTTTCTTTCTGGAATTAAAGCAATGTAAAAGTCAGCTTTATAAATCAGCTTTATATTGGAAGATTTTACACTGCTTTAAGGGTAGCAATTGCAAAAGTGCTACTGAAATATATTATTACAGATGTATTTTTATATCAGTTAACTGGTGCACCAACCCCTCTGAAATAGTGTTAAAGAAGCATAAAATATAACACCTTGAATCCATGATATATTTTAGGAAAAAAATCTCTCACAATCTTCAAATTAGCATCGAAAGCTAAAACACCAAGATTTCCATAGCAAAGCCACAGGATGAAGCCTCCCACTTAACAGTGACATAAAAGTACAATTCTTGAAATTTCAGAAAGTCAAGAAAAATGTATAGTATGATAAACAGAATTAATGATAAGTTTGTAGCTACCATAGAATTAAACTCTCCCATGGCTTTGATATGGCAACTATAAACTGTAGGGTTACCACAAAATTTGAAATTATAGAATACTACAGTAACTGTAAAATTTTATTCTCTAAGAGGACTGTTTAATATTTAGTTATCCAATTAATATATTTCCACTTGCACTTTGATAAATAAATGTTTATAATATACTTGAGCTCAATTTCTGTTTCTGTGGTAACTGTCCTACAGGCAAGCTTAGAGCTTTTAATGAAGCAGGAATGGAGTACTTTTTTTCTGGAACTTGTTAAACACTTCCATATTAAGTATAGGTATCTTTTTTTCAAGATTTTGTTTTAGTGCAAAGTAAATCTTAGTTATGGTTTTTAGAAGGTCAGAATGTCACTTTTTGTGCTGATTTGCATACTTCAATAGTCTGGAGCAGTTGAAGCAGCTAAACTATTTAGCTTTGGGAAGGATGGAATTCCCATAAGAATTATAATGTCATATGTATAACATAACATGAAAATCAGACTCCTTGAAGTATAAACTACTAGCGGTATTACTAATAACAAAGGGCCAAAAAAAGGAAAAACTTCAAATGATTGTGGATCAGTACTTTTAGCCAATTTATGATTTAAAATTTTGCCTGAAGGAGTTCAATTTCACTCTAGTCGAGGCATTCTTGTTCTTCACCACTGGCCCTTCTGCCATCCATTCTCTTTTCTTTATGGCTGTTGCAAATTTTCCTCATCTCCTCTTCATACTTGATAAAATTTTCCCCAAACCTTGTCCAAGCTTTGAATGGAACAGTAATAGTATTACGGTAAGGTGGTCTCACCTCACTTACCTTCAGGAAAATTCCATATTTATTAGAGCCCACATCAAAGTAGAACCTTTTATTGTCCACTCTGAAAGAAGTCCCCTCTGGGAGTTCAACTGGGTCATCGTCTCCAACTCTTCGTTCTTCTATGTCTCCTTCGCCATAGTCTTCAATAAGCTGAACCAAGGCATCACGAAACTCAATCATTCCTTGTGCTGGGAGTACAATAGTCTGTTCTTGGCCCAAACTGTGGCCAAAATAACCTATCATACCAGTTCCCCGCATCATGGTTTGTCTAATTCTTAGGAAGCGACCCCGCTGATTTTCCTTTAGATCTAAATAATATTTCCTATTGTCCCTCTCTATGTAGTCCGTTTTGAGGACACTATGAGGATGCTCTTCAGACCCCACGGAGACTGGTGGGGAAGGTGCTGAGTGTTTCTGTCTCCTCCTGGAGCCTTGCTCTTTGCTGTGGCCATGCTCTTGCCGGTGGCCTTTGAGGCCCAAGTGGGCGTAGTGCTCGATGAAGTCCCCTAGACAGTCCTTCAGTTCTGCTGCCACAGACAGGGAGAGGGTCAGTTTACTCTTTCTGATATTGTCCTGCCGGCCTCTCCCTATCCAGACTTCGGCTATCTTTAGGAACCGGCCCCGGGAGCTTTGTTTCACGTCTAGGTAAAACCTCTTTTTCTGGATGTCCACTCTTTTAGAGGCCAGCTCTTGGATTTCGGCTGCGCCCCCGGCCTGATTAGGGGTGGCTGAAGCCGCGTAGTGGGGGTAGTGTGAGTGCTGGGCCTGGGGATAGAGTCTACTCTTGCTTAGGCCAGAGCCCCCTACATTCTTGCCTCCGCGGCCGCGGCCACCGCCGCCTCCCCTTCGCCTGGCTCTTTCCATCTTCAGCTGCAAGTGACAAACAGACACATGGAGTGGGGTGGGGGAGGGGTGTTGAGAACAATCGCAGACGCCCCTAGGCCTGCGCTGCCCCCACCTCCGCCCAGGACCCCCACACCCGGCTGCTCTCGCAGGGCACGGGCAGCCGCAGCGTTGGGCTCTCGTTTCTGCCAGGTCGGCGGCGGCGGCGGCGGCGGCGGCGGGCGGCATCGCGGCACCCGCAACACGCACACAGCATCCCTCCGCCGCCCCTGGCCTCCCGCTCCCGCTCGCTGCCCTGCCGCCAGCCTCGGGCTCGTAGCCTCGGGGTCCCCAACCAGCAGACACTCACATCAGCACTGCCATCACCGCCGCCGCCGCCGCCGCCGCCGCCGATGCCCTTCACGACCACCGCCGCCGCCGCCAGCTCTCGGCCCCTCTGCTGCAACCGCCGCAGCCGCCGCCCCCCGCCTGCTTCCTCGCCGCCGCCGCCGCCGCCGCCCCTACTGCGGCCGCTGCGGGGGCCGCAGCCTCTGTTCAAGCACCCGCCCGGCACCCGCCGGGGAGGGGAGGGGAAGGGAGGGGAGGGGACAAGGAGGGGTGAGGGAGGGTAAGGGAGGGTAGTGGAGGGGAGGGTAGTGGCGGGGGGCGGGTAGTGGACCCCGCCTCCTCCTCGCACAGTCGGCTGAAGGGAGGAGGGTGTCTCGCGCTTTCCTTCAGGGCACGCCCTAACCGAAGCCCAGAGCGTGGGGATGGCGTGTGAGCGCGAGGTGATAGGACTGCTGTGAAGATGGGGATAAGGAGTGGGGTGGCAAGTGTTCTGACTTCTCCAGGTTCTGCGGGGATGTAGGAATTCCTACAGCCCTCGGATGCCCCCACGGGTACTACAATTCCCGGGATGCTTTGCGGCAGCGAGCGTTCCTGTGCGTGCTCACCGCGTAGCCAGCTGGGTTATTCTGGGAGGGAAGCTACTCTGCGCCGAGCGTGCGCGAAACGCGTGAGGGCGGGAGAGGGGCTGAAGGTAGGGCCCAAGTGCAAAGGAAATGTGGGGGAGATGTCTCTGGCTGACACTCTCTGTACTGCTTATGCTGTGACGCTCCCGAGTGTTCTCTGCTGCCGGGAACGAAGTTTATTAAACTGGTTTACAGCCTGGGTGCCTGGGTCGCGGTGTTCCTGCTGTGCGGTCCACGAGGCGTCTGTCTCAAGGAGAAGACCCGTTGAACTGGCTCTGCTCTGGTAATGTTTCTTTCTCACCTTGTTTCCGTCAGTTTCAGACCCGGAGTGTGGCTCTAGCCGCTCCCGACTCAGGTGCTCTGTCCTGCAACACAAGCCTCTGGACTGTGTGGCGGGTAGTCCTTACAAAGGGACGTCTTCCTTACCCTCTGCACCACCCGCACACCGATGAGAAGGATCCCCAACTGCAGGCCTTCTCTGAGCTGCTGTCAGTCCCAAAGTGTGTTGCTGGCTCTGCCTGCCACCGGCTTGTGGGACTGGTTGCTCAGTGTGCCCTTAGGAGTCTGCCTTTGCTACTGCAGAAATACAGTCACGCATATTTACACAGGAAGAGTTCAGGGGAAATAGCCTGTTTTGTATATTTTAGCATATTATGTTGAATTTTTGAGTTTAGGCACTTAACGTGTCCCCGCCCCACCCCGTCTGAGTCTGAGTTGTTTTCAGTGTAGGTTTAACTATGTAAAAATACTCCTTTTTAAATTAAAAAAAAATTATGTACATGTATACATTTTTTACATCATTCTTTTTGTACAATGTATGCTTTCTCCTCTCAGGTGTAGTCCCCGTAAAATTCCACCAATTCACCTGTGCACCATCGCCATAATCCCTTGTGCTCTTCCTTCCCCTATTTTGATTCCTCACACTCTTCCCCCACTGAATGTCTGATTTATAGTTGCCTGCTAATTTTGTTTTTAAAATACTCCTTTTTAAAAATGAAATTATTTTTATTGAGGTCAATTGGGTTTACAATATTGTATACTTTTAGGGGTATAGGTTCACCTCTGCAGATGTCTGTTATCACACAGGCCATCACTAGTCCATTTGGCCCTCCACCCCTTTCTTCTCCACCCGCCTACACTGCTAGTAATCTCAGTTCTACAGTCATATTAGTAGGGTTTGTTTTGCTTTGCTTTTGTCTGTTTTCTTTGGGTTACGATCCTCATGAGTGAAATCAAAAATATCTTTCTGATTTAGCTCACATTAGCATAATCCCTTTCATCTTCCAAATGGCACTTTCTTCCTTTCTTTTTTTGTAGCTGAGTATGAAAAGGTAATTTGAGTAAAAGAGCAGAAGGAAGCTAGTCTTTTGGCTACCTGAAGGGGGGTTGGGAAAAGAAGGTGCAGAATCTCTAAGGGACCCTTATTGGTGAGGCAGAGAGCGTGAGTCTAAGTTAGAACTGAGTGAGATATTAGGGAAAGAATTGTAGGAGTTAAAGTTAGACAGGAAAGAGTAGGTTTATTTTGAAGGTTGGTCTTTTCATTCTGAGGGAGATGGGAAACTAATGAAAAATTTTGTCAGGGGAAAACCATGATCTGAATATCTTTTAAAACTCATGATTGGGCCCTCCCTGGTTGCGCAGCGGGTTAAAGCACAGCACTAAAAAGCTTAAGCCACTTCTGCATGAGTTCGATTCCTGCCTGCCCCGGAGGAGATCCACATGGCCAGGCAGACCTCTCCTGACCTGCCTGCTGCTCCCCTTAGCAGTGTACTGCTTCGATCTGCCTGTTCTGCTCCCTGTGCTGTTTCTGGTGAATCTTCTCACCCTCTGCATCTCTGGCCTGTACCCCAGTTCTGTATGAATAAATCAATAAATCTTTTAAAAATAAAAATCATGATTGTTGGAGACACTTGAGGAAAGCAGTCAGGCAACATGCAGAACGAGATTCAAGATTTAATTTGGGTTTCAGAATACCAGCCAGCTGGGACCAACACCCTCTAGAGAGTGTGGCCCCGAGCAGTTACAGAAACCAGTTTTTATACACTACAGGCAAGGAAACGAAACTTAGTTGTTACTGAGATAACAGTCTTGCAATGGGCCCTAGGCCATATGATCCGAACATATGACCCATATCCTAGTCCTATCATATGACCCATATCCTCCTCCTGTTACAGAAGGAAACTGATTAATCAATTTTACAAGTTTGCTTCCTCTTACAGCAAAGTTATTTTGGGGAATATCCTATCGCTTCAAGCAGCAAGCAGGATACAGGAGCAGAAAAGGCAGTTAACACAAAATGGCGTTAGCTTGGTTCAATACAGATCCAACAGATACAATATATTTTAAAACTTTGACGTGTTAACCATTGGTAGCATACAACTCTGGAACTGTGCTTATTGCCCATCAATATGTCTTCTTTGGAGACCTGTCTATTCAGGTCTTTTACCCGCTTTTAAACTGAGTTGTTTTGTTGTTGAGATCTTTGCATATCCTCTTTATTAACACTTATCAGGTAATATCATATGCAGATGTTTTCTCCAATTTCTTGGTATTCTCTTCCGTTTTGGATGTTCTTTGATTCATAAAAGTTTCAAATTTTAAACAATGCGATTTGTCCATTTTTGTCGTGCCTGGTGTCATAATGAGAATTCATCCCAAACCCAAATTAATGAAAATTCTTTCCTATGATTTAAGAGTATTAAAGTTTTAACTCTTGTATTTGAGTCAGTATTTTGAGTATATTTTGAATATGTGTGTGAGATAGACACCAAGCTTCATCTTGCATTCAATTTTCCCAACATCATCTGTTGAAGAGCCCACTTTCCCTACTAAATGAATTGTTATCTGTGATACTTGATTTGTAGAAAAATGAATTTCTCATATATATTTGGTTTTAGTCCATAGTTCCTGGCCTTCAGCTCCCAAAAGGCTGAGAATTTCCTAAGTGTTGAGAATATAACTTATATCTTATTATGTTAATGAAGTGACTTTGGGAAGCAAGTAAGGACAGAGGTCATTACCAGGGGAACCTAACTTATAATTAGAGGATAGCAACTTCCAGTGCTATTGGTGACTTCTGGAAGGCAAGAGGAGCTGGAGGTTGAGTTTAGTCTTCAATGGCTAGTGAGATAATCCATCAAGCCTAAGTAATGAAGCCTTCATCAAAGCCCAAGCAGAGGGTACTTTGGAGAGCTTCCTGGTTGAACATGTAAAGATTTAGGGAAAATGGTGCTTTTGGACAGGACATGAAAATGCCTTTTCCCCATACTTTTCTTTGTACATCTCTTCTACTTGGCTGTTCTTAAATAATATCCTGTGTAATAAACCTGGGATTTAATGATTTATTGTATTTATTGAATTCTGTGAGTCATTCTAGCAAATTGATCAAGCCGGTGGAACCTCTGATTTATAGCCTGTCAATCATAATTTGGGCTTACACTATATACCTGAAGTCTGAGAAAGAGATTGTATGAGCTTCCACTTTATAACTGGAAGTTTAGAAGCTCACCTAGCATCCTAGACTTTTGACTTCTGTCTGAACTGGAGGTTGGTCTTGGAAGACTAAATCCTTACCTTATATAGTATGATGCTGTGTCTGGGAAGATAATGTCAGAATTGAGCTGAATTCTTGGATACCCTATCAGTTGTTGGTATGGGGAAGCCACCACATATGTATCACATTGAAATTGGGCCTAAGAATCTACCTCATCACCGTTGTCAAAAAAAAAGTTGGCCATAAATTTATGGGTTGATTTCTGGAAGCCCAGTTCTATTCCATGGATTTAAATGTCTTTGTATCAACACTGCACTATCTTGATTACTATAGCTTTGTAATATGTGTCAAAATTGGGAAGTGTGTGTTTAGAATTTCGGTCATTTTGAATACTTACTTGGGCTACTTGGACCCTTTGCAATTCCATATGAGTTTGAGGGTTTTTCAAAAAAGGCCATTCACGCAGTGGGTTCAAGCACTGCACTAAGAAGCTTAAGCCACTTCCGCATGAGTTCGATCCCCACCTGCCCCAGTGGCGAGGCAGACCTCTCCTGACCGCTCGCTGCTCCCCTCAGCAGTGTACTTGGTTGATCTGCCTGCTCTGCTCCCCACTCTGTCCCTGGTGAATCCTCTTACCCTCGGCATCTCTGGCCTGTACCCCAGTTCTGTATGAATAAATAAATAAATCTTAAAAAAAAAAGGCCACTTAAATTTTGATAGAGGTTGGTTGCACTGAATATAGAGATGGTTTTGGATTGTATTTACTTATTGTAAAATTAAGTCTTCTATCATGAACACTGGTGCCATTTCATTTATTGCTATTTTCTTTAATTTCTTTCTTCAGTGTTTTATAGTTACCAGTGTACATTTTTAAAAATCTTATTAATAAACTTTGCTTCTAGGTATTCTTTTAGATAATGTTGTAAATGTTGGATTAAAAAATAAATAAATAAACCCTTATGTTAAGAATACTTTTGAGGGCCCAACACGAGTTTGATTCCTGGTTAGGGAGGTGACCCACATGGCACAGCAGACCTCTCCTGTCTCACCCACTGCTCCCCTCAGCAGTGTACTTCATCAGTCTTCCTGTTCTGTTCCCCACTGTGTCTCTGGTGAATTCTCCCATTCCCCATACCTCTTAATCTAGGATGCTGTGATGTTTAGAGACCAAGGAGGTGAGGAAGAATAAGCAAAGGAACTGAGAAGGGACTCTTAGCCAGGTTGAGTATTCACACTCATTCTCATGCCTGACTTCAATTCCTTCTTCCCTGTAGGGCCCCTATTAACTGATATGTATCCTACGAATTATTCTTTGAATTTACATAGACAGACTTACATTTTATATTTTGAGATTTAAATGATTAGTATGTTGACACTTAGTTTTTCCTATTTTATTTGGGTACATGTTAGAGAACTTGTCATTTTAATACACATAATTCTACTTCATGTCTTTACTGTTTATTAATACAATATTATGAACATGGTGAGGCCATTTTCTGTTCTCTTGCAAAACTTATATATGATTAATCTTTTTAAATTTTGCTACAGTATCAGTATGTCAGTAGGATAGCTAGTTTTGTTGACCTCATTTATTGAATACTTTTCTCTTTTTACAAAGTAGATTAACAGTGCCCCCTTATACATCACATTTCTGTATTTTCATGGCTTTGTTCTGAACATGGTATGTTTTGTTCCATTGATTTATCTTCCTATTTTTATATCAGTTCCATAGTACTTTGGTTATTCTTGTTATGTAATGAATCATATGTACCCAAGTGAATTTCTCCTTG